GTTGCGCTCTGACATGCGTTGGCGATTGCACCAGGCCCTCCGTCCAGGCTGTCTGGCGGGGTTGCGTCCTCGCGCAGTCAGGCGCCGGCAGGACGCTGACTGTCCATCGTCCGCCATATTCAGCCAGCTCGCGCGTGCTTGGAGCGTGTAGTGGAACAATCCAGTCGGCTGGGCGAGTGCGCGGCAGCCTCCGCCCGGGCGGGAAAGCCTCATAGCGCGACGCCGTCCGATTGCGTGTCAAGATTGTCCAGCACCACTCGGACCCACCGGTCAGTCTGTAGCGCAAAGCATACACTAGGTCCAGCAGCAGCGCATCGGAAGCGGTGGCGATGAAGTCGCTGCATGGTACGCTGCGCTGGTGATAGCCACGTGGCGCGCCAGCCAGCCTGGCTCGCAGGTGAGGAACAGTGGGTTTGGCAGGGTGCCGCCAGCCTCCACGTACTCGTAGTCCTCTCGCCTGGGCGTGCGTCCCGGGAGGGCCGTCTGGCAGGACGGACGGGAATCGGCCAGCAACTGGGTGGAACTCCGTCGTCGAAGCGAGACCACGGAGCAGCGGGCCGCTTTGGATCGTGGAGGGCTCGGGTCGTACATGAGTGTCCAGGACATCCGATCATGTGGCCACGAATGTCGGAACGTCACTTGGGGATGCACCACTGCTGCTTCGTGCAGCAAGCATTGAGCGCGTTTTTTCAGTGTAGCTGGCGTCTCGTGCGGACAAAGACTCCACCAGACCAGTTTCACACCGTCTTCCCGCGCAGAAGTGACGCAGGGTCCAGTGGTGCGTGCCTGGGGACGCTGGGGCGCGGCAGGCGCTCGCAGCGCGCAATCAGATGAGCTTCCCAGTTCGTCCCGCATCTTCGGTGACCGTTGACATGGTTGCGCCGGTGCAGCGTTTCCTCCACCCTCTCTGACGCTACCGCGTTCTGGCTCGTATTACCGTCCGCTCGCGAGATGTCAGGGACCGTTGCTACTGTGGGCAGCCGTCCCGAGCCCTCATCCACCTGGTCAGCAGAATGCGTGCCCGGGTGATCGCCTGGGCGAACTCCGGCCGACCGGACCACGTCTTCCGCAGAGTGACCTGTTTCTCTGATGAGAGCCTGACATCATACTTCTCTCGCACCATGGACCAGCTCGATGCAGCTCCACTACACTAGCAACGCGTACCTGTATAACGCATAGACCACTGCTCTCCTGCTATGTGCTAGTGCCTGACAGTTCTCCCTTGACTAACTACTAAGGTGCGACCTTTCCAACGCCCCATCTTTCTTTCCGGCGTGGACAGTGCTCCGACCCAGGAGGTCAGATTACCTTGCCTTCACGGAACGCTGCAGCCAATCCAACCAATCGTTTTATCGACTTTGCCGGCTACGCTGTTCAAGGGTTTAGCAACCGGGCAAAAGCCGTTATACTGGGGCAACCAAAATCGAGAATCCTCAGGAGGAATAGTATGATGGGCCCGACTGCCCGTCGTTACCCGTGACATGGTGCCTGAACAGTTCCGCGAAGCCTATGACGAGGTTACCGAGGGAAACCCCATTACCGGGGGGCCCGGTTCCATTACCATCAACAGCCCTGAAATGGCCCGTAGGCGCGCTGGCCTAACCCAGCTATCTGCGCTACGAGACCACTTTCCCCCACCGTATTCTGGAGCTGGCAATAATTGCCACTGCCCGCGCCATGGACTGCCCTTACGTCTGGAACGCCCATGCCCCGGCAGCGCGGCGAGAAGGTGTCAGCGACGCCTTGATCGACGCCCTGAGAGAGCGCCAACCCTTGCCGGAAATTGGCGCTGATGAAAGCGCTGTTATTGCCTACGTTAACGAGTTCTACCAGAACCACCGGGTAAGCGATGCAACTTTTCGGACAGCGCTGGACCAGTTCGGCTCCCAGCACTTGGTTGAACTGACTGCCTTGATGGGCAATTACGCCCAAACCGCCTTTGTGCTCAACGCCTTTGAGGTTGAGCTGCCTGAGGGAACTACCGAACCGGTTTTGCCGGTTTAGTTGCTCGATCAACTGTCTTGCACGACTGGCAGGGACGTATGAACGAACCATACGTTCCTGTTTGTTCTCGACTCAAGAGAGGGACCCAGGCTCAGTAGCTAACAAAGCAGGGTCAGCCCGTGCGGTTGCCTTGGGAGGAAAACGGTGCGACTAGAAGGAAAGGTGGCGTTAATCAGCGGCGGGGCACGGGGTCAGGGCGCCTGCGAGGCCCGTATGTTCGCCGCCGAGGGAGCCAAAGTTGTTTTCGGGGATATCCTGGACGACCTGGGCCAGCAAGTGGAAGCCGAATTGCTTGAACTGGGATACGAGGCGACCTACGTCCACCTCGACGTTACCAGCCAAACCGAATGGGAAGCCGCCGTACAGACTGCCGTTGACCGCTATGGCAAACTTGATGTTCTGGTCAACAATGCTGGCATCTGCAGCTGGGGCAAGTTGGAGGACTCCAACGGCGAGGAATGGGACCGGATAATGGAGGTTAACGGCAAGGGCGTTTTTCTTGGCACCCTTGTCGCCATTCCGGAGATGAAGCGGGCCGGTGGTGGATCCATCATCAACATCTCCTCTATTTCCGGCCTGGTGGGTCAGGACACAGTGACGGCGGCCTACAATGCCTCTAAGGGAGCGGTAAGGCTCCTGACCAAGACCACCGCTATCCAATACGCCGCTGACGGCATTCGGGCAAACTCCGTACATCCTGGGTCCGTAGCCACGCCCATGACCGCCGAGCGCCAGTCAGACCCCGAGATCCTGCACCAGAGCGAGTCAAGAATACCGCTGGGCAGAGTGGGCCAGCCGGAGGACATTGCATACGGAGTGTTGTACCTGGCTTCCGAAGAGTCCTCCTTCGTTACCGGCAGCGAGTTGGTGATAGACGGCGGCTTCACTGCCACCTAGATGCAGCCGTGCTCTTGGTACCTGATAAAGAGAGGTCGTTATGGTCGCTGATATCCAGGGGCTGGTGGATTCGGAAAGAGGACTGGTTAGCCGCCGAATTTTTATAGAGCCGGAAATCTACCAGCAAGAACTGGAGCGCATCTTTGCCCGTTGCTGGCTATTTCAGTGCCACGAAAGCCAGATTCCTAATCCCGGGGATTTCTTTACCACCTATATGGGTGAGGATCCGGTCCTTGTAATGCGGGACAGTGGCGGCAAGATCAACGCCTTCCTGAACATCTGCCGGCACCGGGGCAACCGCCTGTGTCGAGCCGAGTCTGGAAACGCCGCAACCATCACCTGCGCCTACCACGGCTGGACCTTTGCCAACAATGGCAACCTGGTGGCCGTTCCCAACCTGCAGGATGCCTACTTCGGTGAACTGGATTTGGGCGAGTGGAATCTGATACCTGTGGCCCAACTGGACAGTTACAAAGGCCTGCTCTTCGCAACCTTCGACCCTGACGCGCCACCCCTGAAAGAATACCTAGGCGAAATGACCTGGTACCTGGACAGTTTCTTTGACCGCAGGGAGGGCGGTACCGAGGTCATAGGCGGCGTTCATAAGTGGGTCGTTCCTTGCAACTGGAAACTTCCAGCGGAAAACTTTGGTGGCGACGGCTACCATGTGGCATGGAGTCACCTCTCAGCCATTCGCAGCGGCTTTGCCCGCGATTTTCGGCTGCGGGCCAGCACTGAAGGCACTATGATTGCCCCCGGCAACGGCCACTGCGTCATTGCCCTTGGGGCCAAGGATATCGCCGAAGCCCCGCTGGATAACCTGTTTGCCTACGAGGACGAACACCGTGCCGAAGTTGCCCAACGGTTGGGGGATCGGATAAACACGATCAACCCGATTGTGTCCACCGTTTTTCCTAACTTTTCCATCATTCGGTCAACCTCCCACTCATTCAGAGTCTGGCATCCCAAGGGTCCCGGCGAAATCGAGATCTGGTCCTGGATATTTGTGGACAAGGCCGCCGCTCCAGAAATCAAGGAGGCATTGCGGCTAAACGGACTACGCGGCTTCGGCCCTTCCGGAACCTTTGAACAGGACGATATGGACAACTGGCAAGAATGTACGCACACCTGCTGCGGCGTGGTATCCCGCCGTTATGATTTAAACATGCAGATGGGCCTGGGCCACGAGAAATATCGACCGGACCTGGGAGGCTGGGCCAGCGACTTCCGCCTGAGCGAAAGCAACCACCGGCAGTTCTACCGCCGCTGGGCGGAACTGATGGCGGCTGATAATTGGGCGGAGTTGTAGGTAAGAGGGCCGAGAAACACGATACCTGCATAATTGCTAACTGGCATTAACCTGAACCCTCGGCTATACCTTTGTTGGTAGCAGGTCAACGAATTATTGTACCGCCGGATACAATATCAATCAAGGAATGCTGTTGCCTTCCTCAAATCGATGCTCCTTAACGCATAGCTGCTGATGACAGAACCTAATCTTCAGGAAATTGAACAGTTCCTCTACCGCGAGGCGCGACTGCTGGACAACCGCCAATTTCACCAATGGCTGGAATTGCTGGCCGAGGACGTGCGGTACTGGATGCCATGCGGACATCCCGTTACGCGCCCATCAGCAAGTCCATAGCTTCCTTGGACGAGGCCCAGCAGGACCCCCGCGATCTGACGGAACCTGACGAACTGGTGGTCATTGATGAAGACATGGATAGCCTGCGTCGGCGTATTGAACGTCTGGACAGCGGTTTTGCCTGGGCAGAGGACCCTCCTTCGCGTACCCGCCACTTCATTTCCAATGTTGAGCTTGAGTCCACGGAAAGTCCCGACGAGGTCAAAGTCTATTCCAACTTCATAATGTACCGAACCAGGGGAGAACGGGAAGAGGACTTCTACGTGGGGAGTCGTGAGGACATCCTGCGCCGGTCCGAAAAGGGCTGGCTAATCGCCTATCGTAGAATAATACTTGACCAGACTGTTATCTCTGCCAAGAACGTCAGTAATTTTTTCTGAGCTTCGCCGATAAATTGCACCACCAAACATAGGAGACACGAATGGATATCGGGGTTTTGAATTTCGTCACAGACTATTCGATGAATCCGGTCGAGCTTGCCGTTGCACTGGAGGAACGAGGTTTTGAGTCCCTGTGGGTTCCCGAACACACCCACATACCGGCCAGCCGGCGCAGTCCCTGGCCCGGCGGAGCTGACCTGCCAAGGGAGTACTGGCATTCCATGGACCCGTTTGTTGCGTTGGGCGCGGCAGCGGCAGCCACAACCAAATTGAAGATAGGCACCGGCATCTGCCTTATTGTGGAGCGGGACCCCATCATCACCGCCAAAGAGATAGCAACCCTGGACATGCTTTCCAACGGCAGGTTCATGTTCGGCATCGGCGGAGGCTGGAATTCGGAAGAAATGGAAAATCACGGTACCAACTTCCGGCGGCGTTTCCGGTTGCTGCGGGAACGCATCCTGGCGATGAAAGCCATTTGGACCGAGGACGAGGCAGAATTCCACGGGGAGTTCGTAGACTTCGATAAGATATGGTCCTATCCCAAACCGGTTCAGAAGCCCCATCCCCCTATATTCATGGGCGGCGATGGCGCAACTACCTTCGACCGGGTAGTTGAGTTCTGCGACGGCTGGATGCCCATTGGCGGGCGACCTAGCCAGCAAGGCAGCTTGGCAGAGAAGATCGCATTGCTGCGTCGGCAGGCAGAGGAAGCTGGACGCGACCCTGATAGCATCATAGTTTCCCAATGCCTTTTCACTGAGCCTCGAGAGGACTCAGTGGACCGTTTCACCGAAGCAGGAGTCAACCGCCTGATTTTCTCAATACCGTCGGCCGGTAGAGATACGGTGTTACCCATTCTGGACCGGTATGCCGCTTTTATTCCCTAGCTCAGTTACTGGCTCTAGGAAGCCTGCCCGCACACCAGAAGAAGAATGACTAAGCGAGGCTCATATGGGATGGTCAAGTCACCACAAGAACGGGCTCATCCACTATGCCCCCCAACGCTGCTACCGGGGGTACACCCTCTTGACCACCAACGGAAGCAACTATACGAACCTGATTGACATGGAGGGCAGACTTTGCCACCAGTGGTACTACCCCGAACGGCTGGGCTACGGCTATCTGCTAAATAACGGCAACCTCTTGTTGCGCACCATCAGTTCCCGGGCTGGCGGACGGCCAAGCGGCGCGGGTCCGCGGGCTGGCGCCATTATAGAGTTGACCTGGGAAGGGGAAGAGGTGTGGCGCTACGAAAACCCCTTGCTGCACCACGACTTCGAACGGCTTCCTAACGGCAACACGCTGGTTCTGCTGTTCGAGCCATTGGATCCGGACTTGGCCGCGCAGGTGAAGGGCGGGATGCCTGAGAGCGGAGAAGCGGCGGAAATGCTGGGAGACCTGGTCGAGGAAATAACTCCCGAAGGAGAATCCGTTTATTCGTGGCGTTCCTGGGACCACCTGGATCCCGAGGTTGACGCCATCTGTCACCTCGAAAACCGCGAAGAGTGGACTCACCAGAATTCTCTCCGAACGACCCCGGAAGGAGACCTGATAGTCAGCTTCAGGCGTACCGACACCATTGGCATTGTCGATAAACAGACTGGTGACTTCAAGTGGAAGTGGGGCCCCGGCGAGATCTCACACCAGCATTTTCCCAACATGCTGGCTAACGGAAACATCCTGGTGTTCGACAACGGCTGCCACCGGCCTGGGTTTACATTCTCGAGGGCGGTGGAGGTTGACCCGTCCTCCAGCGAAGTTGTGTGGGAATACCAGGGCGACCCGCCCATTTCCTTCTACAGCTTTCACATTAGCGGGGCGGAACGGCTGCCAAACGGCAATACTCTTATCTGCGAAGGGGCTCCCGGCCGTACCTTTGAGGTAACTCCCAACCGGGAAATCGTCTGGGAATACGTCAATCCCGAATTCACCACCACGCCCCAGGGTGGCGGACGAGCCAACTCTAACTTCCGTGCGCACCGCTACGGCCCCGACCATCCGGCATTGCGAGACAAGGAACTTGACCCTGGCCGGTATGCTTCATTCAACCACCTGTACGCAGGCTGAATAATACCGCTCATCTCAAACTTCTCTTGTCGCTCCCTAGCTCACTTTGGGAAGGGAAATTGCGGCTTAAGGTGGTTCCTGCTGGTCGGAAATAGGGACTTCTCCAGTAGTTGCGATGCGGCAACCCAGGTAGTGCTTATCGCCTAAGCAACTGATGGGCCGGCGTTTGTGCTATTTCCCAGGCAAGATTAGTGGAAAGCCAGAAAAGGTCAGGGGCGGGTTTCTGACCCGCACCTGATTTTGCGACAAATCTAGCCGGTCAGCCTGACTTACTCCGTCCCATTCTCCTGTAGCCACTTGGCCTCCAGGAAGTTGGCGGAGTTCATGGGCAGGTCGGTCAGCCTCAAACCGACCGCGTGGTAGATGGCGTTGGCTACAGCACCCATGGGCGGTACCAGGGATACCTCGCCTACGCCCCGTACACCCAAAGGATGGCCCGGGTTTGCCACCTCAACTATGACCGTATCGATCATTGGCAGGTCCAGGCTCGTGGGCATCCGATAATCAAGGAAGCTGGAGTTGACCATCAGGCCTTCACGGTCAATGAAGTACTCTTCGTTCAGGGCCCAACCGATGCCCTGAACGGCGCCGCCTTGAATTTGCCCCTCCACGTAGCTTGGGTGGATGGCCTTGCCGGCGTCCTGAAGTGCGGTGTAGCGCAGGACTTCAACTTTGCCGGTATCCGGGTCCACTTCCACGTCCACGATGTGCAGCCCGAAAGCGTTGCCTACGCCTCCAGGGTTCGCCGTCGCACGTCCCACAACGGGACCGCCGCTGCCATTGAGCCTGCGCGCTATCTGGGCGAAAGTCATGCTCAGCTCGGAGTCAGACTTGTGGCTCAAGACGCCCTTGTTGTACTCGACATCTTCCACATTGACGTCCCAAATCTTGGCGGCCCGTTCAATCAACTGCGACCGGATGTCCTCCGCCGCGTTGTAGACCGCAGTCCCCATTTTGAAGGTAACGCCGCTGCCACCGGCGCCGGAGCTATAACCAATAGAATCAGTGTCGGCTATGGAGGGTTTCACGGCTTCGGCGGTGATTCCCAGAACCTCGGCAACCTGCATGGCCATGGCGGCACGGCTGCCCCCAATGTCCGGGGAACCCTCAACCAGGCTGACGGTACCGTCGGGATTGACACTCGCCACCGCACTGGCAGGGCCGCTGCCGTTCATCCAGCAACCGGCGGCAACGCCGCGTCCCCGATACTTTCCTTCAACCGGTGCGGCCAGGTGGGGGTGCTGTTGCGCGGCCTGGCAGATTTCGACCATTCCTATCTTGCGGAAAGTTGGGCCGGTTATCTGCCGGTCGCCTTCCTTGGCGGCATTGATCAAACGGAACTCTACCGGGTCCATTCCGATCTTTTCGCAAACCTCGTCCAGCACGCTTTCGGCGGCGTAGGCAGCGGTGGGAGACCCAGGTGCGCGGTAGGCCGCGGACTTCTGCGTGTTCACCACCACGTCCAACCCCTCGACGTAACCGTTGGGTATGTTGTAGGGCGCAAACATGGTGCGGCAGGCCGAGGCCACCGGAGAACCAGGGAAGGCGCCCGCCTCATATGTGAGATGAGCTTCCGCCGCGGTAATTTTGCCGTCGTTGGTCGCCCCTATCTTGACCTTCATATGGGTGGCCGGAGCGGGGCCGGTGCCAAGGAAAACTTCGTTCCGGGACATCGCAATCTTTACCGCTTTGCCGGTCTTGTGTGACAGAGCGGCCACCACAGGCTCAATGTAGCAACCTCCCATACCCTTGCCGCCGAAGCCGCCACCAATCTCCATGGGAATGATCTTCACCTTGGAAACCGGCAGGCCCATTATGGTGGATGTGTGGTCGCGGAGGGCAAAGTGGCCCTGGCTGCTGGCCCAAATTGTTACCGTATCGTCGGTGTTCCACTGGGCAGTGGCGGAATGTGGCTCGATGTAGCCCTGGTGCACCGGGCGGGTATGGAACTCGCGCTCAGCTATGACGTCCGCCTCTGCGAATCCCTGTTCCAGATCGCCCAGGCTGAACTCGAACCGGTTGGCCAGATTGGTTACCTTGTCAGACTGGTCTCCCCAAGCGCCGGGACGCCAATTCGGACTGTCAAAGGTTACCAACCTCTCGTGAACGAGAGGCGCACCATCGGCCAGCGCTTCATCCGCATTCAAGACCGGCTCCAGGATTTCCCAATCCACGTCGATGAGGGACAAAGCCTCTTCGGCGAGGTGGGGACTGGTTGCGGCTACGGCTGCCACGGCGTGGCCCCGATACAAAGCCTTTTCACGGGCCATGACGTTGCGGCTGTAAAAACCGTAGTTGACGTTGGCGCCTTCCGACAAGTCCGACACTTCAGCGGACACTTCGGGAAAGTCGGCAGCGGTTACGACCGCCTCCACGCCAGGCAGGGCCAGGGCGCGGCTTGCGTCAATGCTCCTTATCCGTGCGTGCGGGTGAGGACTGCGTAGAATCTTGCCGTGCAGCATCCCCGTCAAATGAATGTCGGCAGCATAGCGAGCACGGCCCATGACCTTATCCGGACCATCGTGCCTTATCGGCCTGGTGCCAACTACATCGTACTCCTGATTGGAGAGCACAATGTTGGGCTTGTAATCAAGCATCTCTTCCTCCCCTGTTGCCTGGCAAGAGGCCAAGCATTATGTGCGCTTAATTTACCACAATTGGGCGCAATGCGGTTGAGCCCAGAGGAATTGCAAATCAAGGACCGGGCTTCTGCAGGCGGCATTGGACGTAACAAGGGTGAAGTCAGAAAATAGTTTTTTCCGCCATTTCCGCTCATTTTCATCCATTGACCTTCTGCCAACAGGTAGCAAAAGCAGGTGTGGGTGCAGAAAAAATAGTTTTCCCACCATTTTCGCCCATTTACGTTCATTGACCATTTGCTAACAGGCAGCCGGAACAGCCGTGGGAGCAGGAAAACCATTTCCCGTCATTTCTGATCATATCCGCTCATTGGCCCTATGTCAGCAGATAGCCGGAAAAGGGGTTGGGGGAATCTGCTCCATCAAAAACATAGTAAAAGGTGGTTATGCGAGCTGTCGATGGGTTGGTGTCATCCGGAATTAATAATGATCCTGGCTTCGTAAGAGACCGCCGGCTTTGTAAAGATGGACATCTGGATTCACGGAAGCACAGGTTTTGGGTCTTCTCAAAGGTGTGGCAGCGCTGCATCCAGGGCAAGGCATTGTTGACTGTTATGAACCGTCTAGGATAAAGTGATCCACTGGCTGGCAAATACCTGCACATTACCTAGTCAATGGAGGAAATAGTAATGCCTATCAATCTTTCCCGCATTGGACATGCCGCTGTCCGGGTTCGGGACATCGAGCGGGCCAAGAAGTTTTACACGGAAGTCCTGGGGTTCGTGATCGAGGAAGAAGACCCGGAGCACGGTGGCGTATTCATGAGCCTGGGACGGGATGACACCCACGAAGGGCACGTTTTTGACCTTTCTCCGGTGGAAGATCCGGACAACGCCCTGGACGCTCCAGAGCGCAACCAGGTGGGCGTGGCACACATCGCCATCAAGGTTGACAGCCACGACGACATGAAAGACGCGTATGACCACCTGCTCAGTAACGGAGTTACCGTGGACCGCCTGGTGGAACATGCCAACCAGCGCAGCATGTACTTCGCCGACTCCGAGGGCAACCGTCTGGAAATTTATTTTGAGTTTCCAACTTCCAAGGAGTTGTTCAAGCGGGGCCGCGGCGACCGCGACTTCGTCTTTACCTTTGAGGACCCGGTCCCCCCCTGGGCCACCGAAATTCCCGCCGACTGGGACCCCGATACTACCGTGGACCGCTACCACCGTGGCACCGTCAGGACGATGGGTGGCTAGGGAGACTCAATACGGTTATTAGACATAGCCGAATCAAAAGGGCGGCTTGGCAATAACCAACCCGCCCTTTCTGCGTTTCGGGACTCTTGAAATTCCGATTCCAGTCCGCACCCTACGACACTGTTAAACCCCGACCGTTTCCCTCTGCCGATCACGGCTTCGCTGGCGCAACCGCACCCCCGCGGAAAGCTGCTTCTTTCGCAGCCGGAAGTTCAGGGGCGTAACCTCTACCAGTTCGTCGGTGGCGATAAACTCCAAGGCCTCTTCAAGTCTCATTTTTACCGGGGGACTCAGCCGCTTGGCCACGTCGGCGGTGGAGGAGCGCATGTTGGTCAGTTTCTTCTCCCGACACACATTGATGACGATGTCATCCTCTTTTGGATGCATCCCCACAATCATTCCTTCATAGACCGGCGTACCGGGTTCAACGAAAGTAGAACCTCTTCCCTGGGCGTTCAGCAGACCGTAGGTGACAGCAACGCCAGGCTCTGAGGCGACTAAAGACTGGCTGAAGGCAGACTTTACCTCGCCGCGCATAGGTCGGTACTCCACAAAACGATTGTCTATGACGCCATTGCCGCGGGTAGCACGGAGGAACCAGGAGCGAAAACCTATCAGACCCCTGGTGGGCACGAGGTACTCCATTTTCACGTTGCCGTTGCCGTCATTGTCCATGTTGGTCATCTGTGCCAGACGATCAGCCAGACTTTCGGAGAGAGTACCGATGAATTCCTCGCGGGTAAAAACAGTCAGCTGTTCGTAGGGTTCATGTACCCCTGCCATCCAGCACCTTGGTCACAGGCACAGGCCGGGACACCTGGAATTCGTAGTCTTCTCGGCGCATGTTTTCTACAAGGATGGCCAAATGCAATTCCCCTCGACCGGAGACAAAAAACTCGTCAGCGCTGGCAGTCTCCTCCACCCGCAGACTGACGTTGGTGCGCAATTCGCGAAGCAATCGTTCCCGGAGCATTCGGGAGGTGCAACGGGAGCCTTCCCTGCCCATGAGAGGGGATGTGTTTACGCCGAAGGTCATCATCACGGTTGGTTCGTCAATTTCAATGGAGGGAAGCGCCTCCGCCTCATACGGGTCGGCTATAGTATCCCCAATTGAAATTTCGGCGATGCCTGATATGGCGACTATCTCTCCCGCCTGGACCGTCTGGGCAGGCAACCTCTCAAGTCCCTTGAAGATAAAGACGTTCTCCACGTTTTCAGGCCGCACGACTCCATCCCGTCCCAGCACGGCTACAGAGTCGCGAAAGCTTAGAGAGCCACGAAATATCCGGCCAATGGCAATCTGACCCAGGTAATTATCGTAGTCCAGGGCAGCCACCAGCATCTGCAAGGGCCCATTTACGTTACCGGTAGGAGGCGGGATGACGTCCACGATGGCATCGAAAAGCGGTTGCATATCCGTCCCGGCAGCATCGGGGACTGGTAACTGCATATCCCTGCTTGGCCGACGCATAAAGGACGGGGAAGTCCAGTTGTTCCGGCTGGGTCGCCAGTTCCAGGAATAGGTCCTGGACCATTTCGACAACTTCGGGAACACGGGCCTCGGGGCGGTCGATTTTGTTGATCACCACCATGGGCGTGACGTGACGTTGGAGTGCCTGCTGCAATACGTAGCGGGTCTGGGGCATGGGGCCGTCCACCGCGTCCACCAACAGCAGGCAGCCATCGGCCATGTTCATTACCCGCTCCACTTCACCGCTGAAGTCCGCGTGGCCCGGCGTATCAATAATGTTTATCTTGACGCCACGATATTCCACGGCCGTGTTCTTGGCGAGGATAGTAATGCCCCTTTCCCGCTCCAGGGGGTTGCTGTCCATGATCAGTTCGCCCACATCCTGATGTTCTCGAAACACCTTACCCTGCTTCAACAGGGCGTCCACCAGGGTAGTCTTGCCGTGGTCAACGTGAGCGATTATTGCCAGATTGCGAATGTTCCGGTTGGAATAAGCTTCCATGTGCCTCTCTTGTTAACTTCCTGCTGACTCAAAACAGTTGAACCAAACTTGGCGCAACCATTTTCCGGTCAAAGAGTTCTTCCTTTTGAACAACTACCAGGACAAAGTTTATCAGGTTTCGACACCATTTTGCCTGATTTCCGACATTTATTCCAGCGGGAAAATCCTCAAACAGATGCAATGTTTGTTTGATACTGGCTGGGACTCTTTGCAACTCTGACTTCGCCGGATTGCTTTGCTAGAGATCTGGCAGCCTACTGCCCTCATTCTATAGGAACCGCCACGGTGACTCAGCTGCTTCCATTGGCGGTACAAGGACCACATGCTGGCCGGCAATGAACAGGACGCCAGCAACTAGTATTACAACGTCAGTTGGCATGATAAGATTACTGGGAGATTGGGGAATGCTTGGGCAGGTGAGGCAGGGAAGTGGATGGGGCGGCATTTGAGCAGGTATACCAGGACTTTCAGGAGTTTCACGCCTACTTCGCGCCGCTGTTTGGCCGGCGGGAGACGCGGGAGCACAGCGGTCATTATCTCCAGGCCCTGCTGGTACAGTCTGGGGAGCGGCGCAACGCTGAGAACCTGTCGGAGACGGTTCCGGGGTCAGCCAGGGGGATGCAGCGGTTTCTCACCGATTCTCCCTGGGATGATGAGGCGATCATAGGGCGGCTGCAGGAGTACCTGGGAACCCGGCTGGAGCATCCGGAAGGGGTGTGGGTGCTGGACGGCAGCGACTTTCCCAAGCAGGGGCGGAAGTCGGCGGGAGTGGCCCGTCAATACTGCGGGAGACTGGGGAAGGTGGCCAACTGCCAGGCTGGGATGTTCCTGGCCTATGTCAGCCCGTTGGGACGGGCGTTGGTGGACAAGCGGCTGTATTTGCCAGAGAGCTGGACCAAGGATCCGGAACGCTGTGCCGAGGCGGGGGTTCCGGAGGAGCGGAGGGGCTACCGGTCGAAGACGGAGTTGGCGCTGGAGACGCTGCGGCGGGCCCTGGAGTTGGGCCATCTCAGGGCCGGGTGGGTTGCGGCAGACGACGCCTTCGGCATGTCGCCCTCCTTGCGGGAGGGACTGGTGGCCCTGGGGATGCGCTACGTCCTGGACGTGCCGGCGGGCTTTATGGTGTGGCCGGAGGAACCGGAGTGGACCACTCCGGTCTACCGGGGACGGGGTGGGCCTCCCAAGCCCAGGCTCGTGGCCGGACAGCGGCGGACCATGGAGGAGCGCAGCGCTGAATTGCCGGAGGGTGCCTGGCGGGAGATTACGGTGGCCGAGGGAAGCCAGGGCCCCCGCAGCTACCTGTTCAGCGCCCAGCGGGTGCGGCCGACCAGTCGGCGCAAGCCCGGCGAAGTCCACTGGGCCGTCTACCGCCGGAACCTGGACGGCAGCGAACCCCGCTACTATCTGTCCAATGCACCGGAGGATACCCCGTTGGAGACCCTGGCCTACGTGGGAGGTTCCAGGTGGCGTATAGAAACGGAGTTTGAGACGGAGAAGAGCGACGTGGGCCTGGACGAGTACGAGACCCGTACTTGGGCGGGCTGGCATCACCACGTGGCCCTGTGCCTGCTGGGCGGAGCTTTTCTGCTGAGCCTGCAACAGGCTTGGGGGGAAAAAGATGCCCCGGATCACGAGACCGCAGGTCTACCGGGTGGTGCGGGAGATGCTGCCCCGGGAACGGTTCGGACCTGAAGAGTTGCTGCGGTGGCTGGAGGATACGCAGGACAGTAACGAACGGGCCAGTCGCTCCCATGCCAAGCGCCGCGCCGCCATGCGGGCATCACCCCACATCCCTCCCTGAACTGACGTTGTAATACTAGGACGACGGTGTGCGTATCACGAGTTGGCCAGTGCTGGGGATGTAGCAACCCGATGCAATAGCCGCCTACACCGCCGCCGGTGGGCGAACCTACCTGGGGTCGGCCAATGAAGGCAACGCCCGCGATTACGACGGTTACAGCGAATAAGCACGCGTTTCAGATTTGATCCTGGACCCCACCGCCTTCCACAACGCTGAACTGCCGCAGGCCGATGACCAGCTTGGCCGACTGAAGACCACCGAGGCATTTGGCGACGAGGATGACGACGGCGACCACGAAGTCATCTACTCCTATGGAGCCCGCGCACTGACTATTTGGGACACCCAGGGTCGCGTGGTGTTTGACAGCGGCCGTCAATTCGCCAGGCTGCTGGCCGAGCATAGCCCGACAACCTTCAACTCCAACGGCCTGCCGACAGTTTTGACAGCCGGTCCGACAAAAGGGCGCCGAGCCTGAGGCCGTCACTGTGGGCAAGATCGGGGACAGAACTTACGCCTTCCTGGGATTGGAACGGGCCGGCGGCATCGTAATTTTCGACGTCACCATTCCATCGGCCTCTACCTTTGTGGGGTACGCAGACAACTCCAGCCCAAATGGGGATCTGGAAGCCGGTGCCGGCGGCGACGCGGGCCCGGAGGGCTTAGAGTTCGTTTCGCCTGCTGCCAGCCCCAGAGGAGAGCCGCTGTTGTTGGCAGCCAATGATATCAGTGGTACCACCACCGTTTACCAGATTGCTGCACAGTAGCTTTTCCTGCAAAACTGAATATCCCCCGCGCAGTTTTCAGCGGGCTCCTCCTGAGATCAAATCAAATACACAGGGAAGCCCATTCCTGGAACAAGCCATCTACTTGACTGAGGTATTTCTTTAGCTTGCCCGCAAACCTGGCTTTGTGTAGAATTCCAGCAACTTGGAATACGACGATTTCGCCCTGGGGAATGACTCAGGGTATTACAGGAGGATTGGTAATGGATTTTGGACTTGAGGGAAAGAAGGCCTTCGTCGCCGGCGGAGGACGGGGAATAGGCAAGGCGATTGCCCGGGTACTGGCCCAGGAAGGTTGCGACGTGGTGATTGCGTCCCGGTCAATGGACCAGCTTGAGGAGGCGGCCAGGGAAATATCCGACGCCACTGGCCATACCGTCATTCCCATGCAGATGGATGCCACCCAAACCGATCAGGTAAACCGGGTGGTGGCGGCGGCGGCCGAACAACTGGGTGGGCTGCACATCATCGTCAACAGCGCGTCTCTTCCAGGTGGGTCCGACGACGCGGTGGGCTACGTTGAGACGGTCAACGAAGAGTCGCTGATGGCCGACTTTGACGTTAAGTTCGTCGGGGCGCTTCGGTGCGCAAAGGCCGCCATCCCCATATTGAAGGAACAGGGCTACGGCCGCATCATTAACATCAGCGGCGGAAACGCCCGGAACGCCGGGAATCTCAGCGGCGGGGCCCGGAACGTCTCAATGGTCCACATGACCAAGACTCTTTCTAACGACCTTGGCCGTTACGGGATAACCGTCAACTGCATCCACCCGGGCACAACCCGTACCGAGCGGACGGCGGTGATGCTGGAAGCCCGTGCTGCTCAGCAGGGGGTTACGGCGACCGAAGTGGAGCAACAGGACTTTACCCCTGGTTCGGGTCGTGGCAACGCCATCTGCCGAATGGTGGACGCCGAGGAAATTGGCTTTCTGACCGCCTTCCTGGCCTCCGACAAGGCCTGGGCAGTTACCGGCGAAGTTATCGCGGCCGGCGGCGGTGTGGGCACTGCGGTCTTCTACTAGACCGAACCCCGGTAGACGGAACCACGGCGCCTGTAGCCTGCCTGCAAGTAAACCGAATGGCCCTTCCCAATCTCATGGGAAGGGCCACTTTCTTTCTCCAAGGTGAGCTAACCCACTATTACGAGGATGCTCCTTCGCCGGGCGGCGGAAGAATGGTCTTTGCCCTGCGTACTACGCCAAATAAAAGGGCCGCGACCCCCAGGGCCGCCAGCGCTACTCCGGTGGGCAGCAGCCAGGGCAGGCGCTCAGTTAGGGGCACGTCGAAGCCGGAATAGTCCTTGTTGGGTTGCTGGATGCCGAGCGTTGCTGGTAGCGCATCCTCTGTATCCAGATAAGGAACTATTCGTTCCAAATCATAGGAAGGGGCTGTAGCCACCGGATTACCGTAGTAAAGAGAGTGTTTGATGCCAGGTGTAGGGTGGAACAGAAGCTTCCGGTCCACACCGTGGAAAGTGAACCCGGTCAGAGGGAGGGGAGCATCGTCCTCGTTTTCTACAATAACACGGTAGCGGCTGAAGCGGCTCTCAGGGAAGTTCAGCTCAAGACGGCTGCCGGTGAACTTGGGAGTGTCGAAAGAGTATATCTCCCCCTCCCCCAGCCAGACCCAGTTTGTGCCGTCGACACTGCCTTCCACTACCGCACGTCGGTGGAAGTTTACGGAACCCGCCTGAAAAGACAACCGACTGAGGGGAATTCCTGAGGATGCCGTATCCAATACGTGGATAGTGGCGCCGGATTCAGGGTTTTCGCTACTGCTAACGGTGTCCGGCAGGTACGTCGTTTCCCGAGCGGGGGTTTCTTCAGTAAGAAATACCGAGGCTCCGCCGATTTTCAACGGTTCCGCATCCGATTCCGCGACTTTTACCCTCAAATAACGGGCAGCGCTCTCCGGGTATTTGGCAGCGGTATCTCTGGCATTGAACTGTTTGTTGGCCGAGGTGAAGTCGTATATCTCGGCATTATCCTGCACCACCGCCCAGGTTTCCCCGTCCAGGCTGGTTTCCACAGTTACGATAGTCCGGAAGTTTTTTCCGGTGAGAGATATCTCCACCTCATTGTGACGTTGCCCATCTTCCCCCAGATCGGCGACGAAGCTGCTGTATTGGCCGGGCACAAACCCGACATCACGTATTTCCACAGGTACAGATTCTCTTTGTGACCTTTTCTCCTGAATTACAAGCTGGTAAGGTACCTCTCTGTTTCGTCCGGCGATCAGGCGCAGGTCGGTTTCTCCAATGTTCGTTTCCTGGTAAATCTCCTGGTCCAGGGGAAGTTCTACCAGTTGATCCTTGCCATAGGAAGATGGCAACTCGATCGGTTTGAGGAATTCCCAGTGATCCAGTGAGAAGTCGGCGTAGAGGACCGAACCGGCGCCTAACCCCGCCACAACCGCTATCAACAATAATGGGAGCAGCCTCGGAAATTGCATAAGGCCAAGAATCGACCCTATCTGCCTGAAACTTCCTGAAGACCTATTCAAGCAGGAACCCCCGTATAGCCCTGCTGAAACGCTGGTACAGAAAGCCGCCTATCACCAGTAACGCTCCCAGACCGATAAAGGAGGCGACACGGTAACCCTGATCCATCTCGAAGGCGTCGTAGATGAAGAGCTTCAGCACAGGTATTGCCAGCAACCCCAGTCCGCCCAGCCGGAGCCAGCGTTCCCGCCGTACAATTCCCAGCACAATCATTGCAGCCGCATAAATTGCCCATAGCGCGCTGAGGCCCAGGCTGATGACGTTACCCACATAAGGTAGGCCTATTGTGCCCCGGTCGCCTGCTAATTCCACGAGTTCCGCCACCTGGATGCTCAATATCCATAGAGTTAGCATGTTTGCCAAGACAACAAATGCCAACGGCGCATATGCTTCGCCTTCGTACTCATAATCATCCCGGCCCCGCCACCATATGAAGGCAGTGGCATAGGCAGCCGCAATGGTTATGGCGTTGGAAAGAATACGCAGATTAAAGAAGGGCCAATAGGCCTCGGAGTAATTCTCGTAGTAGGGAACATAGACCCCAAAATCGTTCGGCAAGTCGCTTATCAGCAACCAGCCCACGGCAACCGCGAATGATGCCAACCCAAACCACCGCAACTGGTACATTCGGACGAAAAACGACAGCCAAACGAGGACGGCTCCCTCCACCGCCCAAGCCATTCCAATCCAGGGGCCGCTAAGCTGCACTGGCACGGCAATGGACAGCAGCACAAGGGCTATGCCTACGGCGAACATGCTCAGATTAACCTGGTCTCTGTACCGTACCAGGATTCCGTAGCCCAGCAGCCCATAGAAAGCGGCAAGAATTACGGTAAAACCACCCATCCAGTCGCGATATTCATCGAAGAGTCGATTGTAGCTGATGAAGAGGTAGGCAGCCGCGTTGACCACCATTAGCGCCTGGTCAAACGCCTGGGGAGGCCGCTTCCATATCAGGTGGAAAAGGGTTGTTGCCGCGACAAATATGAGAAAAATTACAGTGATGGCCAGTTGAGAGACAGCTACGGATGGCTCCAGGTCGCTTTCCACCCAATAAGTAAACAGGATCAGGGAGCCGAGCAGGGCAAGGAGAGTAAACCATCGCCAGTTCCGGAAGGTGGCCAGAGCCAGTACGCCAACGTCCAGCACCAGCACATAACCCTGCAGCGCCCACTGCTGGGGCAACTCTTCAGAGAGAAATACGGGGGTCGCAAATCCTCCAAGAATCCCCAATACCGCTATCACCCTGGACTCGTATCGAATGGCAAGGCCGGCAGCAGTCAGGGTAACGAGAAAAGAAAAGCCAAGCGCAACCAGCGCGGGAATTAGGTCGTAGAGCGCAAAGGCAGCGAAGATTGAGACATAAAGTATGGCGAGGCCGCCGCCGGTAACTGCCTGGGCCCAAGCTGGGTATTTCCGAGTCCAATATTCTCCGCCGCCCAAAAGAGCAAGCCCCAATGCCAGCCCCAGGACCACCCGGCCCGTTTCGCGATCCATTGGTTGTCAAAGGCGAGCTTTAGAAAGAATCCCACGCCGATGATCAGGGCCAGAATGCCGATTCTGGCAAGCCAGTGCCACCCACCAGCCACTCCCAGTTCCAGGAACTCAAGGCCCGAGGCTACAGAGGAAGGCGGAGTTCCAACCACACCAGCGACTGTTGCAGGTTGGGCACCAGGAGTAGAACTGGGGGTCGAAGGGGAAGCCGTTGAAGCTGTATTCGGAGAGGTAGCAGAGGGAACACGAGCAGCGTAGGAGGCCTCGATAGCTGCGTTTGATATCACCGAGGGACGCGCTAGCGAAGCACTTTCCAGCGCGGACACCCTGGCCGTTAAATGTCCTACCTGGGTCTGCAGGGAGGCGATGACATCCCGCAGTTGTTCTGTTGGGTCTAAGTTTTCGGAAGTTTCAGGTGAGGAGTCTGGATCAATGCCAGCTGCGGACTGGGAAGACACCTGAGCCGCCCCACAGTGCCGGCAGAAATTGGCAGTTTCAGCTACTTCCTGACCGCAACTGGAGCAGTTCATTCCCTACCACCTCACATACCTGCCAATTAAGTATATCACCGCCTGGTGTCGAGCTTAGACCCGGAACCGAGCCAACATTAGCGCTAAAACCGCTGCGAGAGCTCAACGCTAACAGAAGCTCCCGCACATTAGTCGAGTGCGGGAGCTGGCTTTCTAACTTTAAGATGTCTGATTTTAAAAGAAGGCAGATAGCTGCCTTATTGGCGATGGCCATGATCGTGGTCGTGACCATGCTCATCTCCTTCTGTGCTGCGGAACAGCTGCTTCTTCGGAAGCGTGGGCGTGCTGGTGACCGTGGTCTTGATGGCCACCCTCAGTATGCACCGGGGGAGTAGCGTTGGGCAGGCGTATGAAGAGCAAAATCACAATGGCCGCCACGTAGAGGGTCGTCGTGTAGTAGAAAAGGTTGTCGGGATTGATAGTGTAAAGGGCGCCAGCGATTATGGGAGAGACGGCGCTGAAGATGAACCGTGAAGTGGACATCATACCCAAGGTCGTAGCTGCCGTCCCTTCTCGCACGATGTCCATGGCAGAGGCCGTGAGTATGGGTTGATCGCTGTACAGGAACAGGCCCAAACCCGCCAACAGAATGGTCATTCCGGTAAGGGTGTCCCCAAGGGACGCCATAAGAAAGGTCAATACAGCCAGAACGCCCATCCCGGGCACCAGCACCAGCTTTCGGCTATAACGGTCGGACAGGTAACCCATGACCGGGCTGGCGAAGATGCCCACCAGCACCAGCAGCCCTATCAACGAACCCCGGTAGAAGAGGTTCTCGAAACCACCTTCCCCCTCGATCAGCTTCAGACCCAATTCGTCGGCCAGATACAAAGGCAGGACCGTTATGAAACCGATATAGGCCATACCCCGCAGGCCAGCCACAGCTGTTATGCCCCACATCCGCCCGTTATGGGCAAGTATCTTCGTCTCCTCAATCTGGTGGCGCATGGTATTGGCTGGCCGGTCTTCGCTTTCCCCTTCACGGCGTCGACCAATGTCGCGAAAAGCCCAGAAGACCAGAAACGCCAGGAATATTGGTACCGCACCATAGATTGTGATTATCCCCTGCCAGGTAAGGGTCGAAAGGAGGAGACCGGTCAATACGGGCCCGATAACATCGCCAACGTTGCCACCCACGCCGTGGAAAGAAAGGACCGAAGCGCGACGATGGCTGAAACTGGCTGGAGAGGGCCGCTACCGCCGGCAGGTGCCAGAATGAAGCCGCCATACCCACGATGGCCATACCAAAGAGGAGGAGCGCATATCCGGCAACGTTTAGCTCACCCGAAGCCTCTCCGGCTGCGGCAGACTGTTCCGCCGTAAGCCAGGAGCTGCCGGGCACCGTCCAGCCGCCGGCGGCCATCAGGATCCAGCCCACGCCAAATAAGGCCATGCACACGGCCATCACCCAGCCCCAGTGGCGCCGCAGAGCGTCGGTCAGGACACCGCCCGGAAGCGAGACCACCCCGGAGGCAATTTCACGGGTTGATTGAATGCTGGTAGTGGCTACAACACTGCCGCCCAACAGCAGGTCCCGGACCTCGGGCAGCACAACGATGAAGCTCTGGGTGAGCCAGTGAAATACGCCGTGGCCACTGGTCAGGCCGCCGATGATAAAGGCCGCTCCCCGTCTGAAGCCGCGATGTTCTTCGCTTACCTGCAGAGGGGACTGATGGTGATGGGCATGCGCCATAGAAGGTCCTCCTTTTGATCGCGGAGTAAAGGAGAATTCCCGCTCCTATCTGAGCCGGAAATGGAATGTGCCCAGTTTAACACGGTGTTAAGAGAGAGTTAAGCGGCACTCAGTCTTTGGAATACCACCGTAGCAGTCGGAAAATTCTAGTCGAAGGCCGCGGATTGGCCCTGGGATACCCTCGCAGTTCGAGGGCCCTTGTCAGCGCCGAAGGGGAGCAGTCTCTTCAGGTTGGTGTAAATCAGAGTCAGGACAAAGAGCAAGGAAGAAAATATCACGACGCTGGCCCCTGAAGATATGTCCGCGACCCAACTGGCGTACACTCCGCCGAAGCCGCAGAGTGCGCCCGTGGCAGTCGACAGAATGACCATTGTCCTGAACCGGTTGGTAAGCAGGCGGGCGATAATGGGCGGGATAACGATCGCCGCAGCAATCATGGTTACACCCAGCACGTCGAGGGAAACCACGATGGTCGCGGCCAACACCAGGGAAAAAATGGTATCCGTCAGCCAGGTTGGAACCCCATAAAAGCCCGCCACTTCGGGCTCAAACGCTGCAAAGAGGAACTGCTTATAACCAACTAAAAACACAATCGCCGTAATAACGGTAACAACCAGGATGGTTATCAAGTCCGCCGGTGTGACGCCGAGAATGTTGCCGAACAGTTGGGCTTCAAAATCCCTGAATGAATTGGTGTAACTGATTAGCGCTATGCCCAGGGCGAAGCTGGCAGTGGTTATTATGCCTATGGCAGCGTCGGCGCCGATGATCCGCATGCGGGTAATCAGGGTAATGAGAAGGGCGGAAAGAAATCCCCAGACGATTGCCCCAAGGAATAAGTAAGACTCACCAGGACCCTGATGAGCGATTGTGCCCCCTACTGTTCCGGCGAAAATTACGTTGAATACCACAAAGTGGCTTATTACCGCCCCGCCAAAGACGGCGTGGGCCAGGCCATGGCCGATATATGACATGTGCCGAAGCACAACATAAACTCCCACCAGTCCACAAAGACCGCCGGCCAAGGTGGCAGCGATCACACCCGTTGACAAAGAACTCGTACCCAAATGGATCAAGCACTTAGGAGACTCCCTAGCCCGTGCGAACTTCAGTGGCCGCCGATACGGCGTGCTTGCCATTCACACTGCTACCAATCACCTCATCAGCCTGGTCAATTTTCAGCATTTGCCCGTTTCCGTTGACCGACACCTTGCTATTGCCGTTTCTGCCGAAGTGATGCGGACTTTCGGCCACCAGGGTCATCCCTTCGTATTCAATTACCGGCATTTCCGCGCCGTAGGTCAGCTTGAGAATTTTGGGGGATATGACCTCGGATGGAGGACCCTCGGCCAGGATGTGACCGTTGATACAAACAAGCCAGGGCAGGTGGGCTGCCACCGCGTTTATTTCGTGGGTGGTCATAGCTATGGTGATGCCCTGATGATTCAACTCGTGAAGCAGGTGCATCATCTCGTCCCTGGTCTTTATGTCAACTCCACTAGTAGGTTCATCCAAAAGTAGCAGGGACGGGTTACTGATCAGAGCGCGGGCCAGGAACACCCTTTGCTGCTGCCCACCGGACAATTGCCGGATGTGACGGCCTTCCAGGTGGCCAATACCCAGCCTGTTCATAATAGCCCTGGCAGCCCGCCAGTCTCCCTTTCGGTGCCAGGGGAATAAGGGGTTGTGGCGGCTGAATCCCATCATCACCACTTCTTCGACCGTCACCGGAAAGTTCCAGTCAATGGTTTCCAATTGAGGAACATAGGACGCTCTGGAACGTCGCTTGCTGACACGGTGGCCGTCGACGGTTGCCTCTCCCCTAAACAGCTTGGAGGCACCCAGAATGGTGCGCAGCAGGGTGGTCTTGCCGGACCCGCTGGGGCCCAGGAAACCTACAAAGTCGCCCTCCATTATTTGCAGGTTGACATCTGACAGGACTACATGGCCTTCATATCCGGCGGTTACGTTGTTTAGCTCTACTATTGGTCGCCCCGACCCTCGATGGTGGGGAAATGGGTGTAGCATTGGCTTTCCTTAAAAATATATTAATACTATGTGCTTGTTTATCTGCTATTGGGGATAGACTGCTCCGCTTTCTCCTGACAAAACGGGACTTGGGTCATAGCCATCCAGGGGCGACGGGTCCCCACCCAGGGCTTTGGTAATAATCCGCACGTCTTCCAGGATGAGGCCCATGTAGGTATGGTCTGGGTCACCCGGTTGACCGGGGAGATCGTCGTCCCGCAGCTTGTCCACGAATTCAGCTCCACCCTCTTTGGCGATTTGCGCCAGCACCGGACTTGGGAAAACTTGCGAGCCGAAGATGGCGGGAACCCCAGTTTCCCTAACCTGGTCAATGAGCGAGGCCACTTCGCGGGCGGAAGGCTCAGTAAAGTCCGAAGGCTGGATGGCTCCAATTATTTCGAAGCCATACCTGGGACCAAAGTAGGGAAAGGAATCGTGGTAGGTTAACAGCTTGCGATTTTCAGGCGGTATAGTGTCCACTGCCCGCACTATCCGCTGGTCCAGGTCGTTGATCCTGGCCTCGAGCTTTGCGAAATTGCCTCGGTAATACTCCGAGTTCTTCTCGTCGAGGCGAATCAGTTCGTCCCGAATTATGCTGGCGTAGCTCACCCCCAGATCGGGCGCAGTCCATAAGTGGGGATTGGGATGGCCATCGGTTTCTGGGAAGGCAAAATCGAACACCCAATCATTTTCAGAGATGGCCCGGGGACCAAGGAGCAGAACGACCGCCCCTTCCTTCATGTTGGATTCCGCCATTTGGATAGTGGGCTCCTCCAGGAAAAGCCCGTTAGCTACAATGAGGTCGGACGCAGCCAAGGTCGCGGCAACCGAAGGCGCCGGTTCAAAGGTGTGGGAGTTAGTGCCCTCGGGGACTATGCCCGTTAACACAATGCGGTCGCCACCGATATTCTCCACCAGACTGGTAATTGGAGATACGGTGCTGGCGACCCTGAGTTTCTGTGATTCCGGCTCGCCAGGTTGAGGAGCCTGGTCAGATAACGCTGCTGAAGAACCGGAGCATCCAACCGCAGCCAGCAGCAAAATGATTAACAGGGCTATTGGAGAGCAACGCGGAATAAGGGACTTTCTAAGGATTTTCCTCATAACTTGAAGCATCTTCCAGTGCAAGAGCCGAAGGTTCCCCACCTTCGGAACGACAATTTACGCAAACGCCAGTGATAGTAAAGTGGTCCAGGTCCGGCACAAAACCGAATTCAGTGACCAGTGTGCTGTTGAATTCCTCGAGGTAATGAGGGCTTAAATTAAAGGCCCCGTGACAAACCCGACAGACCATGTGATGGTGTTTCTCACCGGGGTCGGTCAACTCGTAGTGCAAACGTTCGCCTATTGCCACCTCGGTGACCAGACCAACCTGCTTGAAAAGCCGAAGGGTCCGGTATACGGTGGCCAAATCCATATAGGGATAGGCGGCCTGTGACTTGCGGAACACCTCATCAACCCCCATGTGCTGACTGCCTTCAGCAACCACACGTAGGACAATTAACCTTTGGGGGGTAAGCCGGTGCCCCTGGCCCCTCAGTACCTGAAGGAGCTGCTCATAGCTGGTCATAACAATACCAGTTAATGCAAATGTTTGCGACAACAATCTATAGCATAGTATAAGTGGTGTCAAGCCAGTGCCGAAAGTCCTGACACAGTTCCGCGCCTCTATCGAAACGAAAAGGACCTGGAAGTGCTTGGTGTGAATCCAGGCAATTCCATGTCCTCTCCACCCTGAAGGACGAAGTACGGCGCCAACTGAAATAAACTGTGATATCCGCTAGGCCTTGCCTTCCTTAAACCAGTCCGAAAGTCGCTCGGCAATCATCAGTGTGGTCACGTTGGTGTTGGCTCGCACAACGTCGGGCATTACCGACGCGTCAATAACATTCAGGTTGTTGACACCGTGCACCCGGCAATATTGGTCGACCACCGCCATAGGGTCGCTGGCCGGGCCCATCTTGCAGGTGCCGGAGGAGTGCTGCTGGGTTGAAACGTTGCGCAGCATCCAGGCGTCAAGGGCTTCGTCCGAAGCCAGGTCCTCATCGGTGGGGGAAGTGCGGCCGGTTATGAGTCCTTCAAAGGCTGAAGACTGAGACAAGCGGATGCACAAGCGCACCGCCTCCCGCAAGCGGGCCCGATCGCCAGGATCATCCAGATAGTTATAACTGAGCTCGGGCTGCACATAGGGGTCGTCAGCAGTCAAACGAAGCTCGCCGGAAGTTGTAGCGTTTTCCAGGGCGGGAGCCATCCGCATGCCGGCAGCCGCGTCAGGAGCGCCGCCCCGGGCGTCGGCGAACCATCCTGGCAAGATCTGCATATCATTTCGGGTGGGTGACCCCTCCGACGTGTAACGCAACGCTACCTGGCTCCACGGCGTATCCGGGTCGTCGAGGTATTCCTGCCTAACCTGGAATTGCAAGGCCACCAGAGGATGGTCCCGAAGGTTCTGACCGACGCCGGGCAGGTCATGCACTACCCGAATGCCGAGACTTTCCAGGTGATCCCTAGGCCCAATTCCGGACAGCATCAGCAGTTGCGGCGATGCAATGGCACCACCGCTGAGGATAATGCGTTCGCCTTCAATAACAAACCGGTCCTCGCCGCTATCCACCTCGATACCTGTTGCCCTGGTTCCCTCAAACAGGATTCGTCGGACAGTAACGCCAGCGCGAATGGTGAGATTCAGCCTATGTCGGGCCATGTCGAGGTAAGTTATGGCAGCGCTCATCCGCACGCCATCGACGTTGTTCATCGGCCGTGGCCCCACTCCGGTGGAATCGGGATCGTTCATATCTGAGCAAGCGGGCAGACCGGCCTCAATACAGGCCCGGTAAAAGGCTTCCTGGGTTGGCAACCACTCCTCGCGCTTGTGGCGACGAACGGGAATGGGACCTTCGGAGCCGTGGAAATCGCCGCCGAAGTCCAGGTCGGTTTCGATGCGGTTCAGGTAAGGAATTAGCTCAGGGAAAGCCCACTGGTCGTTGCCCCATTCAACCCAGTTGTCGAAATCCTCGGGGACGGCCCGCAGCCATACCTGGCCATTAACAGCGCTGCTGCCGCCCACAACCTTGCCCCGAGGCAGGTGGAAAGTGTTGTCATGTTCAGGTCTGGCCTTGGCTCGATACCCCCACATATGGGGTCCAGCGATGGCTTTGGCAGTGTTGTAGCCGTACTTCACATCGTCTGGAATCTGGTCCAAATTGGGGTAGTCCGGCCCGGCCTCCAAAAGCAGCACCGACCGGTCGGGGTCTTCCGAAAGGCGGGTCGCCAGCACGCTGCCCGCGGAACCGGCGCCGATGATTATTACGTCGTATTTCATGACTTTCTCCCTGGATTTAGGCAATTTGAGATCATGATCGAATGTTAGCTCCGGAATCAATGTAGTTTGAGCCACCCGGCGAGTCAAGGAAACAGTTGAACAGTCTAACCAGGAAGGCCTTGAAAGTTCAGTGGAAGATTGACAGCCTACTTGCCCAACCCTAAACTTACGGCAACGTATTCAAGTACTGTACCCTAACTACTTTCACGATTATATTCCCCGGCGACCCATTGAGGAGGAATATGAAAGCATCCTACCTGGGCGCGATGGGATACTCCGAGCGTCACCTCTTCCCGAATTCCTGGCCCATTCCCCCTGCCTACCACGACCCCAAGCTTTCGGTTCAAAGCTACCAGGAAGGCATGGACGAGTGCGAGTTCGCCGAGGAGATGGGCTTCGAGTGGATCAGCTTTTCCGAGCACCACTATTCAGGCCGCATCGCCACTGGCAATCCCGCCGTGATGGCAGCCGCCGTGGCCGAGCGGTGCAAGAAAGTCAAGCTGGCCATGCTGGACCCCTCCTTCCCCTCAACAATCCGGTTAGGATAGCAGAAGAAATGGGGATGCTGGACAACATCTCCAATGGCAGGCTGGTCATGGGGTTCTTGCGGGGCACCCCCAATGAGGACCAGGTCTACGGTGTAAATCCCGCAGAGGGACGGGAACGCCTATTTGAAGGCATGGACCTGATCCGCAAGGCGCTGACCGAAGAGCAGCCTTTCTCCTGGGAAGGGCGCTATTACCAGTTCCGCACCGTTTCGGTCTGGCCGCGTCCGGTGCAGCAACCGTTGCCTCCGTCGATCATGGCTACCCGGAGTGATGACACGGTCAGGTACGCCGCCGAGAACGGAATGGGGCTGGGTGTTTCATTCATTCCGGTGGAACAGATGGAAACGGTAACCGACAAATATTACAACTGGTGTAATGAGGCGGGCTGGCAACCCACCCCCGACCAGGTGGTTTACCGGGGCAGCATTTACCTTGCCGAGTCGGACCAGGAAGCGCAGGACTGGCTTCACGCACTGCCCGGCGGCCAACCCCGTCCGGCGATTCAACTGCCTAGCACCGTGGCCCAGGTGGTGCAGGCAGCCAGAACCGGCGAGGAATTTGACCTGCGCCGCGTCCTGGCTGGCAGCCCCCAAGGCGACGTGGTGGGCCGGTCCCTGGGAGTCAATTTCCTCGGGGGACCCGATACCATTGCCAATAAAATGAAGGAATTCCATGACCGTTGCGGCGTCGGGGTTATGGACCTCTTTTTCCAGCAGCCTGGCCTGTCCCACGGCGAAGTAATGAAAGAGATAGAGCTTTTTGGCAAGGAAGTTTTGCCGCAGATCAAGGAATTCTAAGAGTATTGGCCGCACACTGTTCGAGGGCATTAACAGGACGAAGCATTCATGGCAGAACCCGCACAACCTATCAGCTTCAATGAATACCGGGTCAGAGCCGGTAACATAGCGGTAGACTGCCGGGAAGCCGGCTCGGGTCTGCCGGTCGTTTTCCTGGAGAGCCTGCAATGGGGGCACCGCCCCTTCTACGAGGCACTGGCACGGCAGTTCCACCTCTTTGTCCTTGATTTTGAGGATGCCACGGTCGAAGGCGCCGAGGCCGCAGTAAGGGAGATGGCGAAATCCCTGGCCGGCAAGACTTACAACCTGGCAGGTTTCTCCCAGGGAGCCAACCTGGCGCTGCGCACAGTTTTGCGCGCGCCGGTAGACCCCGAGCCTGCGGAGTCTCTGGTGTTGATTTCACCCACCGCCATTCGTCCCAATCCCGACCTCCCGACGCTGAACTGGGTAGGCTGGGCCGATCGCCTGCTGGCCCACAAGGAACGTCATTCCTACCTGGGCGGGCTGCCCAACGGTTGGGAATTGGAGGGCCTGTTTTCACCCAAGAAAAATGATGGAGAGTTGGAAGAGTGGCTGCCTGAAATCAAGTGTCCGACCCTGGTGGCGTTCGGCACCCGAGACCGCATGACTGCCCCCGAGGCCGCCTCCACTTATCGCGCCAACATACCGAACTGCCACGTTTCATTGGTATACGACACCGCACACCTGGTGGCCCCCGACCGGCCCGAGCCGTCGCCAACGCCGTCATAGACTTTATTGAGAACCGGGAAACCTACGTGGTTAACCGTCAGCGCAGCGTAATAAACCCCTAACCCAGCCGCTACCGCCTGGAGGAAGGAAATGTCCGTCGGATTAGTAGTACCTCTTCCCGCCTACACCCTGGATCCGGCCTTCTTCGCACGCAAGGCGGAAGAGCTGGGTTTTGAGTCTCTCTGGTATCACGAGCATCCAATTTTGCCGGTGAAGAGCGAAAGCCCGTTCCCTGCCACGGGTGGCGAAATCCCCTGGACTTATGCTCACTTCACCGAACCCTACATCGCGCTCGCCATGGCCGCGGCGGTGACCGAGAGAATCAAGCTCTGTACCGGCATTACCCTGTTGCCCGAGCGCAACCCGCTGATTCTGGCCAAGCAAATATCGGTGCTGGACCTGCACAGCCAAGGGCGCTTCGTTTTCGGCATCGGAGCGGGTTGGAATCGGGAAGAAACCACGATGATGGGCGGTGACTTCGACCACCGCTGGACCCAGGCGCGGGAGGCCGTGCTGGCACTCAAGGAACTTTGGACCAAGGATGAGGCCGAATTCCACGGCAGGTACTACGACTTCCCACCGGTCTATATGAACCCCAAGCCCTACCAGAAACCCCACCCGCCGGTGCTGTTGGGCGGAAACGCTCGCAATGTGCTCCAGCGAGTTGCACGCTGGGCCGACGGGTGGTTGCCAAACCGTGCCACTCCCGAAATGGTCGAAGGAGGCCGAAAACAGTTGGACGCCCTGGCCGGAGAGTATGGACGAGCTCCAGAGTCCCTGACAATTTCAGTATTCGGCCAGCCCCCTGATACTACTCGCCAGCAGGTTGACGACTTCCTGAATGCGGGGGCATTGCGGGTTTCGGTGTGGCCGCAGCACTGCGACACCGAGGAAGAGATGGGAGAGCAGATCGAGCGCATGGCGGAGCGGTTGATGCGGTAGGCAGATAAACTTCGAGGAGCCGATACCGTTCCCAGCTTGCCCGGTTCTATTATTTTAGTGTTTTCGGCCCCCAATCGAATGATCTTCTGGCGGGAGCCTGGTTATACCAAGCTGAAGCGGGGCCTTACAGCCGTCGGCCTAGGCACCTAATCCCGGTAATGCCGGCATCGATAGAGGGGTTTGCCATGTATTTGCCGCCAGAGTTTCAAGGCCTGGCGGCCTCTTCTTGTCCACAAGTTACCTGAGTAGCCAAGTCAGAACTAGCACGGAGAAAGGTCATGCTGGATACGACCATAGGCATCGTTACCCTGATAATTGTTTGCGCCGTCTTTCTTGTGCTTGGGGTAACCTTTTCCTGGCGGCGACGAGGCCAGAGCGTCGAGGACTACACGGTCTCCCGAAACCACGCACCCACCAACGTTGGCATTGCTACCCTGGTGGCGTCCATGTTCGGCACCTGGGTGCTGCTCAGCCCGGGCGAAACCGGCGCCAACTTCGGCATCATTTCCCTGGTCGGTTACGCCATTGGCATGGCAGGAATACCTGTCTTGTACATGTTCGTTGGCTCCCGCATCCGTCGGTTGATGCCCAACGGACACTCCATTACCGAATACGTCCGGCACCGATTTGGTCTGATCCCATTCTTGACCATTTTCCTGGCCATAATTTTTGTCATGGGCATCTTCATCACCGCAGAGTTGACGGCCATTACCGCCGCGGTCACCATACTGACCGACTCGCCCGGATGGGCAACCGCCATCGCGGTGGGCATCGTGGTCATCGCGTACACAGCATACGGCGGCCTTCGCACATCAATATACACCGACCGCATACAGTTCTGGATTCTGATACCCATCCTGCTGCTACTGGTGGTTGTCGCTGCCGTTTTGATGGGCAATACTACAGCCTGGTCCGAAGCGCGGCAGTCAGGGTTACTGTCAGCCAACTCGTCGGGCAGTTACTTCTTTGCCATTGTCCTGATCATCGGCATAGTGGCCTCAAATGCCTTCCATCCCGGCATGTGGCAGCGGGTTTACACGGTCAGGGACCAGCAGGTCCTTAACCGGAGCCTCTGGGGTGCCGTGGCTATCGCCATACCTCTCACTTTCCTGATGGGCATGGCCGGTATAGCGGCCGTGGGAAACGGCTCAGTGGAACCTTTCGTATATCCGGAAGTCGCTGCAGCCCTGTTCGCCTTGGCCGGTGACGTTTTCCCACTGTGGATGCACTTTCTGATGCTTATCTGCGCCCTGATGCTGGCCATGAGCACCCTGGACACCCTCATGAACGGCATCGCCAGCGGTGTTGCCGTTGACCTTGCCGGCTTCGGAATTCAGCGCAATTCGCTGATGATTCTGGCCCGCGCCGTCACCGTCATTGTTGCCATTCCAGCCATAATCGTCGCCTCCCAAGGGCACAGTGTCCTTTACGTCTTCCTGATCGCCGACCTGCTGGGGGCTGCCATAGTTGTGCCGGTGCTGGCGGGATTGTACTCCCGCCGAATGACAGGTTGGGGCGTACTGGTAGCCGGCGGAGTCGGGATTGTTATCGGCGCCCTCTACTATCCCAAGCCCGACCTGCTTAGTCCCTGGGCTCTGGCTGCCCCAGGCGGCGGCCAAATGTTCTGGGCTTTCGCATCGGCATTGGTGATTTCTTCTATAATCACCTTCGTGGTAATTCTTGCCCGTCGTGCGGTAGCGCCGGCGCAAGAGTTCGACTTCAGCGTCCTTGACTCCAGCGTTAGCCTTATTGACAGCCCCTCCGCTGCCAACGATTAATGGTTAACCACTTTGCAAAATGCGTATAAGCCCAGGCCGGGTAATTCCGGATTTAGCCGGAATAAGGCGTTAACTGAGCGGACACAGATTAGCGTTCTTATAGATTCCTATGTGGATGTTGACATACCCGCCCCCAGACCATAAAATACCGATAATTAACAACCTACTCATCTGGACACGTAGGGGAGCTTGGTGGAGCCAGGCTGAGAGGGCGGACCGTTTGCCGCCGACCCTTACGAACCTGATCTGGGTAATGCCAGCGCAGGGAAGCGGCGTCTCGTCTTTTGCAACTATCGAAGTCGCCAGGCCCTTGCCTTGGCGGCTTTATTTTTTGCGGAGGTAGATTATGACTCAGACTCAGTCAGACCTGGAGATTCAAGGCCAATCAGCATTTCCCGCCAGCAAGAAAGTCTATGCTACGGGTTCCCGCGATGACATTCGTGTGCCCTTCCGCGAGGTAACCCTGACGCCCACCTCAGGGCGGTTCGGCGAAGAACAGAACGAGCCTCTGAAAGTTTACGACACCAGCGGGCCTTACTCCGATGACGGCGCCAAGCTTCATTTGGGCCAGGGTCTTCCCGCGCTGCGCCGCGCCTGGATTCTGGAACGGGGCGATGTCGAAGAGTACTCTGCCTCGCCCGTGGTGTACCGTGGTCAGGACAAGGGTCAGCCCTTCCCCAGTCTTACCCCGCAATCCCCTGCGGGGCAAGGAAGGTCGTGCCGTTACCCAGATGCACTACGCCAAGCAGGGCATTGTAACCCCTGAAATGGAGTACATTGCCATCCGCGAAGGTGTGGAACCTGACTTCGTGCGCGAAGAAATAGCTCGTGGGCGAGCCATCATTCCTTCAAATATCAATCATCCAGAATCAGAACCGATGATTATTGGCCGCAACTTCCAGGTCAAAATCAATGCCAACATCGGCAACTCTGCCATCACTTCCTCCATTCGAGAAGAGGTGGAAAAGATGCTATGGGCCACTCGCTGGGGCGCCGACACGGTAATGGACCTCTCCACCGGCAGCGACATCCACACCACTCGTGAATGGATTGTTCGCAACTCCCCGGTGCCCATCGGTACCGTGCCCATTTACCAGGCCCTCGAGAAGGTAGACGGCAATCCTGAAGAACTGACTTGGGAAATCTACCGTGACACCATCATTGAGCAGTGTGAGCAGGGTGTGGACTACTTCACCATCCACGCCGGTGTGCTGTTGCGCTACGTGCCCCTGACAGCCAACCGCATCACCGGAATAGTATCCCGCGGCGGTTCCATAATGGCTGGTTGGTGCCTGGCCCACCACCAGGAAAATTTCCTCTACACCCATTTCGAGGAACTCTGCGAAATCATGCGGGTCTATGACGTGTCCTTCTCTCTGGGTGACGGCCTCCGCCCCGGCTCCATCGCCGACGCCAACGACGAGGCGCAGTTTGGCGAGTTGCAGACCCTGGGTGAGCTGACCCAGTTTGCCTGGGAACACGACGTGCAAGTCATGATCGAGGGACCCGGCCACGTGCCGATGCACAAGATCAAGGAGAACATGGACCGGCAGCTTGAAGTTTGCCACGAGGCGCCCTTCTACACCCTGGGGCCCCTAACCACCGACATTGCCCCGGGCTACGACCACATCACGTCTGGCATCGGCGCCGCGATGATTGGCATGTACGGCACGGCCATGCTCTGTTATGTAACTCCAAAGGAGCACTTAGGCCTCCCCAACAAGCAGGATGTTAAAGAAGGCGTTATCACCTACAAGATTGCCGCCCACGCCGCCGACGTGGCCAAGGGGCACCCTCGGGCTGCAGATTGGGACGATGCCCTGTCAAAGGCCAGGTTTGAGTTCCGGTGGGAAGACCAGTTCAATCTGGCTCTCGACCCGGAAACCGCTCGCGCTTACCACGACGAAACTCTGCCGGCCACGGGAGCCAAGGTTGCCCACTTCTGTTCCATGTGCGGCCCCAAGTTCTGCGCCATGAAAATTACGCAGGACGTGCGGGAGTACGCGAGGAACCGGGGGCTGAACCCCGACAACGCCATTGCTGTCGGAATGGAGGAAAAGTCCGAGGAATTCCGGCAGGCCGGAAGCAGGATTTACCAGAAGTCTTAATTCCGCCTCCAGAGGTCCCAAACTGGCCGCGACTAGTTCGGTGTTATCATATTGGGGAGGGCTTTGCCCTCCCCAATAGTTCGTTCAAAGCCAATTGCAATGGGACTGCCCTTTTGATTGAAGCATGGAACGGAGGTCAGTTTTGGGAACTTTCAGTTGCCCAGTTGAAATTTTTTCGGCCGACGGCTTGCGGTCTGAGACCCTAGATGCGACTGTGGACACAGGCTCCACTTTAACATGCCTGCCTGCTTCCTTACTTAGAGATTTAGGTATAACGCCGCACCGCCGTGTAGAATCAGAACTTGCTGATGGAAGCCTACTGGAAGATGAAATAGGCAATGCAAGAATTCGTGTGGAGGGCATAGAGGTTAATACTCTCGTGCTTTTTGCTGGCGAGTCTGCCCCAGCTCTCTTGGGTGCTTACACCCTGGAAGGTGCGCTGTTGGCGGTTGACCCGGTGCGAGGGCGGCTGGTGCCAGCACGAATCTTACGGTACTCCCATACCACTTCAGTACCTAAATAACATCATTCTTATCAATGAATTGAGAAAGTGATCAGGAGCTTAACCAATGGAAAAACAGAATCTGGGCGTGGCCGTAGTTGGATCTGGGCGAATAGGAACTCTGAGGGCCAACATGGCCTCCCGACATCCTTCGGTAAGGTTTCTGGCCGTATCAGACATCGATCCCGAGAAGGCCGGCCTGTTGGGTGAACAGGTGAACGCCGACCTGACCTCCAGCGACAACTACCGGATAATATCCGACCCTCAAGTCAATACGGTGGTCATTTCCACGCCGGAACACGAGCACGTAGAGCCCATACTGCAGGCCCTCGAACTGGGCAAGCCGGTCTTCGTGGAGAAACCCCTGGCCTTGACCCTGGAGGACACGGACAAAATTGTAGAGGCCGTGGACCGCACCGGCGTCGAACTGCGCATTGGTTACTCCCGCCGTCACGACCGGCGCTGGATGCTGGCCAGAGAGCAGGTGGCACAGGGACGACTGGGCGGCATTATAGGCATTCAGTCCCGGGTCTATAACTCCCGCGCCCACATGATGGAGATACTGAAGCGGTCGCCCGACGCTACGCCGGTACTGGACGCGCTTACTTACTACGTGGACATGGCATGCTGGTACCTGGATGACGTCAGACCAGTGGAGGTTGTCGCCCGGGGCAACTATCGCCTTTACAAGGAAATGGGTTACGACATCCATGACGTAACCTGGGCAATAATTACTTTTGAGAACGGGTGCCTGGTCAATCTGGGCATTTGCTACGCCCTTCCGGCCAAATACCCTACCTATGGTCAAAGCGCGCGGTTTGAGGTGCTTGGCGAGGACGGGGTGATAGTCCTGGACATGGACAACAAGGACAGTTTTTTATTTACGGATAAGGGCGTACCCCACGCCTATGTCCCCGATCACTACGTGGACGCACTGTTCATGCAAAGCAATTCCTCAGGCGACTGGGCCATGGGCGAGTACTGGGGCCCCATCGCCAACGAGACTCGCTCGTGGCTGGACCACCTGGCAGCCGGCACTCCCTGCTCCCACACAACGGTGCGGGAAGGGCGAAGGACTGTGGAAGTAACGCTGGCGATAGAGGAAGCGGCAAGGTCTGGGGAAGTGGTGAAGCTGTCGGGGCGGTAAATGTCGCTGACTGTTTGCCGACTGGGACTTGGAGGCAAAACCTAGCGACAACTTTGTCGTTAGGAGGAAGACTTGAACCTTACCGAGTTTGAACTCACATTTTTGGGTTTTATGTGGGACAATCCCTGGTCTATATTGGTGGCCCTCGCTATTGTGGTGAGAGTGGCCCTGTGGGCGAGAAGGGTTTTTTCACCCGACTGTTCCTACGTCAGGGGATTGCCTCGCTGCAATATGTGCCTCGATGGAACCAAGTCCAGGCACAAGGTTGTTTACAACAGCAAAGAGATTGCAGTGGCGGCGGCGGAGCGGTACCAGCGGAAATTCGGGCGGCAGTGGCCTTATCGAGCCGAGTGCGGTTACTGGCACCTCACTTCACAGAGTCCTGGCATTTCTCGCCAAAGCAGCGTCAGGCGGTGAAGCTTGCAGTCAAGGAAGCAGCGAGGTCAGGCCAGCCGATGAAGTTGTCAGGGCAGCAACGAAAACAGACGGCTACCCAAGAATGATTGGGGCGGGATTAACATCCCGCCCCAGTCTTTGGCTTCTAATCTGCGCTTCCTTACCTCAATCGCTCAACGGGCTGGTCTTCAATTCCCGGCATTGTCCAGATTGGCCGTGGGGCGAATGTTGGGGTCCTCAGGATCCAGTCATGCCACTGCCATCTTTTCCTCAGCCAGGTATTCTATTTTCCCGTTGACGACGTGGAACGCCCGATAGTGGCCGGGGTAGATTATGTCCGCCTGCTCCACGATTCGGTCTATGCTTTGGGTTGCGTCCTTCTCGTTCTAAAACACCAGGGGATTCTTGTGGGTAAGGGCAACCATAGAGTGGTGCAGCATATCCCCCGTGACGGCACAAAGGCCTTAAGGTGGCTCCTCCACTACGGATATGATCCCCGCGGGGAGTGGCCTGGCGTGTTTATAAGTGTAACTCCAGGCTCAATGACGTGGCCTTCCACTTTTTCGATCTTGGGCTGGAACTCGATTATGGCGTCTGACCAGACAGGTGCAGCATAGTCGTGCCGATGGGGCTTTTGGGCATACTTCCGCTCCGGCTCGTTCACCAGCATCGGGGCGTGCTGGAACGGGTCATAGTTCTGGCTGTGGTCCCAGTGAGCACGACTCATTATGGTTATGTCGATGTCCTCGGGCGTCAAACCCTTTGCTTTCAGAGCATTCTTCAGAAAGGAACGCCGGCCCACGTGACCCCCGACCACAAGAATGCGTCTCTCTCCCTCAATTAGCAACCAAGGAGAAAACCAACTACCCCAACATCGGTGCGAAGGGGACTTCCTTGCAGCAAAAAACTGATATCAGGCCTTGTTGTCTCCCTTGTTTTGTCCGCTCTGTCCAAACGGGCTTGTATGTATGGGAAGTTTAACAGGCTGTCAATTACCCCATTTTGATTCAGGTTGACTGCCAATAGGTATGGTGCTAATGTTCAGCCGACAATCGAAAGGAATATCAGGGAGGTCTTGCTATGCCAAGGATGACGGGCGCCAGGTTCGTGGCGGAAACTTTAAAGGGGTACGGTCTGACTCACGTCTTCTACGTCCCCTCCATTGCCCGGCGCATATTGGCTGAACTGGAAGTGGTGGGCATCGAGAGAATCGTCACCCACGGAGAAAAGGCTGCGGTGTACATGGCCGACGGCTACGCCCGGGCCTCCAACGGTCCCGCAATCTGCATGGCCCAGTCGGTGGGAGCAGCAAACCTGGCCGCCGGTCTTCAGGACCCTTTCCTGGGTCTTTCACCGGTCATCGCCATCACCGGCCACCGGCCCCTTTCCCACCAGTACCGGAACTCCTACCAGGAGATTGACCACTTCAAGCCCTTTAGCTCCACCACCAAGTACAGCGTGGCGGTGGATACGGTGGAGCAGCTTCCCCACCTGCTGCGGCAGGCCTTCCGCGAAGCCACTACCGGCGCCCCAGGACCGGTACACATGGACTTTCAGGGCATCCAGGGCGAGGTCATCGAAAATGGCGAGGCGGACCTGGAAGTTATCATCGAAGAGGACTTCATGAAGCGGTCCACCCTGCGTCCTGAGCCAGTCCCGACCAGGTCCGGCGCACAGTGCAGGTCCTGGCCGAGGCGCGCCGGCCGGTCATCATAGCGGGCGGTGGCGTGACGGCGTCGGGAGCCCAGGAAGAAGTGGTCAAGCTGGCCGAGATGCTAAACATCCCAGTGGCAACCGCCCTGAACGCCAAGGGCACTATTCCGGAGAACCACCCCCTTTCCGTCGGGGTATGCGGGGCGTACTCACGGTGGTGTGCCAACCGTGTGGTGGCAGAGGCAGATCTTGCCATTTTCATAGGCAGCCAGACGGGCAGCCAAGTAACTCTGGACTGGCGGATTCCGCTACCTGGGACCAAAGTAATCCAGATTGACATCGACCCGTCGGAACTGGGCCGGAGCTTCCCGACCACAGTGGCCATCCAGGGCGATGCCAAGGCCACCGTTTCCCGCCTGGTGGAGGCGCTGGAACCGGTGTCGCGGGTCGAATGGGTGGAACGGGTCCAGCAGTTGGTCCAGGAATTTCGGGACGAGGTGGCGCCGGACTTCTTTTCCGACGCCCAGCCCATCAGGCCGGAACGTCTTTGTCAGGAATGCACCGACAACCTGCCCTCCGACGCCATGCTGGTTTCCGACACGGGTCACGCCGGCATCTGGACCGGGGCCTACATTGAGCTGCACCACGCTGAACAGGAATATATTCGCGCGGCTGGCTCCCTGGGGTGGGCCTTGCCAGCTGCCCTGGGCGCCAAGTGCGCACTGCCCGACCGTCCGGTGGTGGCATTCACCGGAGACGGCGGGTTCTGGTACCACATATCGGAACTGGAAACAGCCGCCCGCTACGGTATTAACGCGGTCATCGTGGTCAATGACAACCGCTCCCTGAACCAGTGCCGGGTGGGTGACGAGCGGGTAGTTAATGCGAATTATCCTGGCATGAGCGCCGACGCCATGTGGCAGTTCAGCGATGTGGACCTGTCCAAGGTCGCCGAGTCCATGGGCTGCTTCGGGATTCGCGTAACCGACCCGGCAAATATCTCAAGCGCCATCGAGGAAGCCCTGGCTTCCAACCGACCGGCAGTGGTGGATGTGGTTTCTGACTGGGACGTGGTGGCCCCTGCCCCTTTGGGGCCCCAGTAGTTCCGATAGAGTTCGCTACGACTAACCCGGGAAGTCGCCGACACCAAATAAAATAGGGGCGGGTATGAAACCCGCCCCTGCTTTTTGGTCATGGATACTGACGAATTAGCAGTAGTTCTTGCCCAAAAGTGAGGGCCCTACACCTGCCGCAGCTTGGGATCAAAGGTGTCGCGCAGCCAGTCGCCCAGCAGGTTGAAAGCAACCACGGTAAACATGATTGCCAACCCCGGAATGGCCGAAACCCACCAGGCAGTGTCCACATACTCCCGTCCGTCGGAGACCATGCTGCCCCAGGCCGGCGTTGGCGGCGGAATTCCGGCGCCCAGGAAGCTTAATGACGCTTCAACTATGATTACCCACCCCACCTGCAGCGTCAGCAACACCAGCAAGGTATTCACCGTGTTGGGGAACAGGTGGAAAACTACTATCCGCAGATGGGAACAGCCGGCCACCCGCGCACGGGCAATGAAATCACGCTCCTTGAGCGCCAGCACCTCTCCCCGGATTACGCGGGCATACCTTGCCCACAGCACCAGAGCAATGGCCACAACCACGTTGGCCAGGTTTGGCCCTACCGCCACTACCAGGAGTATGGCAAAGAGGATTATAGGAAACGCCAGCGTACTGTCGGCGCTGCGCATCAGCACAGCATCAATCCGTCCGCCGAAGTAACCTGAAACCAGGCCGATGGCAGTGCCGATTCCTCCACCAATTGCCAAAGTGAAAAGCGCCACCATCAACGATACGCGGCCACCATACATCAATCGCGTGCCCAGATCCCGACCCAATGCGTCGGTCCCCAGGGGGTACTCCCAACTGCCACCCTCCTGCCAGACGGGCGGTGTCAGCCTGTCCGGCAGGGAGGGGGTGGTCGTGGAATGCGTTGTCAACACGGGAGCAAATATGGCCGTGAAAATCACTATCGCAATGATAATCATGGGTATCAGGGGAGCGCGGCGCAGAGTTTCCGCCGCCTGCCTGCCCCTTTCCAGAAGGGCCGGCCTTCCGGCTAGCGTTGTGCTTGTAGTTGCCAAGTTATAGCGCTCCTTTCTAGTTATACCTGATACGTGGGTCGATGTACGCGTAAGCGATGTCGACCAACAGGTTAACCGAAATAACCACAGCCGCGATCATCAGTACCAGAGTTTGCAGCACCGGGAAGTCTCGCCAGATGATCGAATCATAGACCAGTCGTCCAAGTCCGGGCCAGGCGAATACTGTTTCTACCAGAATAGCGCCGGTGATAAAGGTAGCCAGGTAAGTCCCGGCAAAAGTCAGCACCGGAATCAGCGCATTTTTGAAGGTGTGTTTCCATATTATTCTATATTCAGGCAATCCCTTGATCCGGGCCATCTTGATGTATTCGCCGTCCATGGCATCCAACATGCTGGAACGGAGCAATCGCATTATTGCCGCCGCGACCCACCACCCCAGGGTGAAGGCTGGCATAATGTAATGGGTTATTCCGCCGGTACCGGACGCCGGCAATAGGTCCAATTGCACGGTGAAAAGCTGGATTAGCATT